AAAAAAAAAAAATTAAACTACAAAAAAAAAAAAAGTAATGAATAGCATTAACATAGCTAAACAAAGAAGGTATGAGTCAAAACTTGGAACTGTTCAAACTGGAGCAAGTTGATAAAAAATGTCCAATTATTCTTCAGAACAGGTACCTGTGGCATGACTCCAATCTGATCATTCTGCTGATTACATCTCTCAATATTAATAGGTTCGCCTTCTGGCTTCCTTAGAATGTGGGAATTAGGATATAAATTCAAATCCTAACTTTGCCACTTGCTGTGTTTGTCCTTCAGCAAATTACCACTTTTTAATTTTGTTTCCTACTCTATGAACTGAATGTAAGACGTATTTTATAGCACTGGTGTGAGGATTAAATGACATAAAAAGCACCAGCCTAATGCAAAACCCAGAGGAGAAACTCAAAGTTGTGTAGTGCTGTTTCCACAATCAAGAAATACGTCTCAGACCTGACTGAGTTAGGTTGAACTACAAATAGCCATGTGAACTAATGAGTGTGAATATATGGACTGAAGTATAACTAACATGAGTCTCTAGAGTGCTAGTATTCTATCCTGATTGATATATTTTTCAATTCTTTAACACGGGATGAAGTTGTACTATTTACCTACTGAAAACCAAATCATATTTCCTAGAAGAGCTAATGAGCATTTGAGTACACAGACCCCTTTTTCATCAAAGAAAGCATATTACAGGGATTCAGCTGTACACACATCAAAATTAAATAGGTTTTAAAGAGTAATAATAGCCTGCTGAAGGGGTGATAAACTCTCTTCAAGGAAAAAAATAAAAGCTTTCTTTAAGGAGACAGCATGTAATCTGAATCTTGTTAAGTGAGGAATTTCAACTGGGGAGAGCAAATTCAAGAAAACAATCATGTGTGTAGTTCAATCTCCTACCTTCGAGCAAGTGTAGTTTTATTTCTAATTTTGCATTTAAAACTAATGAATCCCAGAGAAGCAATGTAACTTGCCAATTGTCTCGGAAAAATCACATGCTAGTAAGGGGTAGTTTAAAATAGTCTCTAGCTTCCAAGCACAGGACTTTCACTTTTCACAAGATGTTTTTGTAAGAAATCTCCTAACAAAGGAGCCTAAGATTTCCCATAAGAACTTTTATAAAATAAAAAAAAAAAACTTGCTAATAGCTAATTACATTATAAAAGTAAATGTAGATTAGTATAAGCCATAATCCCTTGACACACTGATACTGCTGTCTCTGAGAGTTCAGGTTTAAATGACTAATACTTTTAGAATACATAAAGATACCCCTCAAAGTAGGGTTACCTAGAGTTCTTCTGAACTCCTCAATCATGCATCAAAGAGAAAATATTCTGAGACTGGCCCCAAACCCCAAACTAGAAATACCAAAATGCACATGTAGAAGCTCACAAGAAATTAGAGTTGCATCTGAAAAGCAGGAAGTCTTACTTAACTACACTTCATTCAATGTTATCACCTCCTCTACTCCTTCACATGGACTACCATTTATTTACAAGAGAAGTCTGGAAAGCAAAAAATAACACTATAATAATGTCCTTTTTCTGATCACTGTTAAGCCAATTTATGAAGTAAAGTTTCCAAGAATCACTAATGTGTCACTGAAATTAAAAAAGGAAAAAAAAAAAAAAGTATTAACAGTATCAGTACTAAAATTAACAAAGCTCATATCAAGCCCATTTACATGGTAACCCTTAAAGGAACAAAGACAAGCATAATACATACTGGAGGCCGGCCAGGACGACCCCTTTTTCTTTTTCCTTTGACCTCTGTTTCTTCAAGCTCGCTGCCAGCATCAGAATGGGCAGTAGTTTCATTAGTTGAATCCCTAGAAAATGTTATGACATTATTTTAGTGAACAAATTAATTAGTAAATACAATGCAGTTCTGTTCTACTACATTCCTTACCTCCTGCTATATGGCTAACTAAGAGTGGTTTATCCTTCTGCTTTCAGAAAAACTCCTCAGCAAGCCAAAAATGTTACCCTCCCTGCCTAACAAAACATAATATTAAATGAAATGAATCCCCCCAAATAAAAAGAGGGAAATGAATAGTAGGAAATGACTGTGGAAATGCCAGCTGCTATACAAAATACAAATGCAAAATACCATTGCAAAAGACTAATTCTTCAACATATAAAGATGAAAGCTTGGGAGGAATTTTATTCATTTTACAAAATCATGAAACTCATGATGTGCTGGTAAATGTTTAACAACTGACTCTTCAAAAAAATACATGCACATAAGTTATTGTTAATGTTACTGATATAAAGCAAACACAGCACACAATTTACAAACAATAATAAAATACACAATACTCTTTACTGCAAATTCTATGCAGCCAATTGATTCTCACGAAATGATTTTGATAAGTTTTGCCAAAGTTATATCTGGATCTAACCTATGGTTGGAATTGATGGATCAACAGGAGTTTAGACATAAACGATGGTTGATATTTTTGTTCACTTTAATGAATAGGATGCAAGTGAAATGTCAAAGACATTTGTTGGACTTCACTCATCAGTCAATGTGTGAGCAACCTCTTTGCTGAATTGGATAATAGTTCTCAAATACTGGAAGAATACTTTCACAATTTTTTGTCGTATTCATAATGCAATGGCTATAGACCCTCTGGTACATCTTAAGTTTAATCTGCATTATTAACAATTTCCCTATCACTTTCTTAAGTCTACAATCAACAAAACAATAAATTAAGCCCTGATTTGTAGCGTTTGCTGATTTTCGTGGTGTAAATACTCCACAGCCAATTTCAAACTACCAAAGCTGCCTCACCAAACCCAGACCTTGAAAGCGATAAACAGTAGAACACCATTAAGACATATTTCCATCATATGGACCCAAGAGGTATAAATAACCCCAAGAGCATAGTAATAGTAATATGTAAAACAATTACAAAGTGATGAGCTTTCAGTATTTGTTACTTTCATTTTTAATGATTTATTTAATTTTAAGTTTATATAAATTTAACTTTTTATCACAGCTATCTTGTGTTTAACTGGCTTGCAAAATTCCTGAAAATTCCATACTTGGCTCTCACAGGCCAATACAGGCTGGCTCCAACACAGCACTGAAAGGTACATTTGTTATGAGCAAGAATCTCTTCAACCAGATTCTACATTACTAATTCTATCAAGGATCTGCATAGAACTGCAAATAACAAGAAGGGTACAAAGCAAACAGTAAGCCCAACTCAATCTGCTTCACTGAATGCTCTTTTTAGTCTCATTCCCTCTTTGTATTTATTCCTTAAAGCTCAATTCTTAGTGTCTGCTCTTCTCCCTTTCTGCTACACTCCCTTGAAGATCTCATCTACTTAATGTGCAACTTCTATGCGAATGACTTCAATACCTTATCAGTAGACCCAACCACATTCCAGATCTCTAATTCACGATTTTTAGCTTACACATGTGGTATGCTTCTTTGAATGCCAATTCTAATTCACCAAGTACCACATCTAAAATTAGGCCTGACTTACTTCTGCTTGTCTGCTCATGGAAATACCATTAATTAAATGATTTCTTAAGTTAGTACATGAATGTGCTTTAAATTATTAAACAAATTTATTATTGTCACCATTATCCTGTTACTCAAATTCATAGAATCATATCAGTCTTCCTCTTAAGCCTCCCGCTAACACAAGTCCTCCTCAGTCATTTGTCTCAGTACAATAACCTGTCTCTCGTTTTTAGTGATTATTACCAGGATCACCACTACCTGAAATAATTTCAACCTACCTCCCTGCTTCTACCATCTCCTCTGTCCAAGCCATTCTACACACTACTGCCAGTAACATTCACACACCACGTTACTCTCCCCACTTGCAAATCTTCAAAGGTAATCAGAAATTTAAAACTGTAAATAATATTATAAATAATATCCAGGGGTCAGCACATTTTTTCTTAAAGGACCATACAGTAAATATTTTAGGCTTGTAGGTCTTATGGTCTCTACAGCCACTATTCAACTGCGGTGGCATAGGATAAATGCAGCCATATGCAAAATATGTAAATCAATGGGCATGGCTGTGCTCCAATAATATTTTATTTATAAAGTCATCTGAGCCACTAGCCATAGTTTGTCCATCCCTATTTAGTCAATCTTACTTATTTCTACTAAAGAACAATAAATCACATTAACCATTCTCCTCACTACAGTTCAAATAGATCAAAGGGCACTTCAAAAAGTTCATGGAAAGATTCGCATTATCTTTTATTTTTCCACAAACTTCTTGCAGTACTCTCATACATATGCACGAAAACCTTGTAAGAAATATTATTGTCCTGTTTTTATAGATGAGGAAATGAAAGATCTGAAAAGCCTCATAAATCTTTCCATAGTCACACACCTAGTAAGTACCAGAATATCTTTAGATCTCAAGGTAAATGTGAGTTCTCTATTTCCATGTCAGGATACTGGAATGCAAGTATATTTTGTATTTATCTTGTGTGGACGAAAATCCACTAGTGCTTTTGATGCTTATAGAAATCTGCAGGCAACTACAGGAGAGGGCTGGTTCCAGCATGTAATCAGTGACTCACTAGTGAAATTAATTTGTACTTAGCAATATAGTTTATTAACAAAAAAGTACAATTTGTTTAATAATTCTGCAAACTGCAGCCAGCTTAAAAGGTGAGAACTAGTGCAAAGAAACAGCTAATGCATTCCCATTAGTATATGTATGTATGTTTATTTATTAGAATATATAACAAATAAATTTTGGGTTTTTAAAAAATTTCGAGTTAGAAGATACAAGAATACAAGGAAAAGTTTCACTTCACCCCATCCTAACTCTTAATCCCAATCTATAGAATACCATTGTTAACAGTTTGATTAATACCCTGCCATAAATATGTAGGCTTTTGCATATATATGTATATATCAAAATAAGTCAATATCTATATTTCAATTTTTAAAGTTTTAAATAAATGATAATTTTCCATACAAATACATGGGATTCTTGAATGGTACGCCATAATATGTATGAAGTTTATTTAACTACTTCCCTATCAGTGAGCACTTAGATTTTCCTTATTTTTGCAATACTACAGAGTTGAAATGATTGTCCTTGCACATAAATCTTATTGCACTTCAGGAAGTATCTCTCTAAGATAGACACAATGGAAATGCTGGGTCAAGTGGTATGCAAATTGAAACTTTGAGCAACTGCTTTTTAAAAGCCATGTAAATGGGTAATGTTCATATTTATAAGACTATTAGACATAAATTAGGAGCACGCAAGAATCAGATCAAATCTTATAAAAATGATTTTGCTCCCTAAAACTTTCTAAATTCTGCCTATCTCTCTATATATCCACTGTGACCATGTAAATGGGTAATGTTCATATTTATAAGACTATTAGACATAAATTAGGAGCACGCAAGAATCAGATCAAATCTTATAAACATGATTTTGCTCCCTAAAACTTTCTAAATTCTGCCTATCTCTCTATATATCCACTGTGACCACTTTAGTTCAAGTTGTCATCATTGCTGGCCTAGATATTGCAACATCCTCCTCCTAATAGGTCTCCTTGTTTCTAGTGTTGGCCCCTCCAATCTAATCACTACAATGCACTCAGGGTGATTTTCTAAGTATATATTTTATATCTCTGTCATGGTTAAAACCCCACAGTGACTTCCCACTTGCTCCTGGGGGGGACTTAACTCGTAACATGATTTAGCAGTTCCCAGGTATGATATTGTTCCTCCCTACTCACATGTCTTATCTCATGTCACTCACTATCCCCAACCCTGAAAAAAAAAAACATGGAAAAAAGGCTTTATTTCAGACCCTCACACATACCATGATTCCTCCCATCTCAGAGTCTTTGCATATGCCATTCCCTCAGTCTGGTACTAATGCTCTGCTCCTTTCTACTTCCCCCAAAACCAACCCCAGAAAATCAGACTAGATAAAGGCATGTATTAAAATTCTCAAAAAACACCACATTTTCTTCATGGCACCAAGGACAGTTTATAACTATATATTTGTGATTATTTTATTAATATCTATCTTTATAAGCTTCATGGCAACAAGGACCAAGTCTGTTACACATGCTACATCTACCCAGACCTAGCATACTTTCCTGGACTACAAATACATGGTAACTAATATTTTGACAATGCTTAATAGTAAACAGCTCTAAGGTGACAAATCCATTGGCAATTAAAATACCTAAGTAAGCCAACTAATAATAAGGTCAATCACTACAGTAGCCTTTCTATAGTGTTGACATTCAAAAAACCATAATTGGACTAAACAGTAAAAACAGATAGTTCCAAATATTTTTTGTTTTTGTGGAGACCTTAGAGATCAATTTCTAATATACGAAGGTACTTCAAAAAGTTTATGAAAAGATTCCTGTTATCCTTTAATTCTATTTTTCCACGAACTTTTTGAAGTATACTTGTTGTATGTTCACTTTATAGATGATAGAAACTGAAGTTTACAAACAGCAAAAGATATATCATGTTTCCTCTACAATGAAGACAGGGTACTGGTGGATGGACTGATTAAGCAAAATAACATATGCAAACATATCTGACAAAATTCCTAGAAAGTCATATGCCCTCATAAAGGCTTATTAGATTTCAACCTGACCAAGAGTACCATCTCTAGCTGACAGAGCTAAGCAAGCACTCATTTACCCAGTAGATCACCACTATCTAGTACCCATAGACATATTACAGATTTTTATTTTCTGAAAAAAACTCAGTTACTCACAAAGTATAATATGATATTAAACACTATAATGTCAATACAACCTCTTTAAATACAACCTTCAATTAAAATACAACCTCTGTTTCATATTTTATCAAATTTTATCGAGGTACTGCCAAATACCTAACAGTGTGCTAGGACTAGGCCATGCAAACATAAGGCACGAAAGTACACAGTTTAGGAGGTGAGTCAGAAACAATAACAGAAGGTTATAAAACATTATGTTAGGTATGATTCTAGAAAAAAAGGCATAAGGCATTGTAGGAGCACAGAAGGACACCTATCCCAACTTTGAGGGATCAGAAGAACTTTGTCAGAGGCATGATACCACAGTAAGACAGAAATGGACAGACAGTGAGTTGGCCAGGTAAGAGCAGAAGTGCATAAGTACAAAGAAAAAAGAAGAAAATACTATGTGGGGACCTCTGAATTCCATATTATATTCAAGTTAGGGGGTAAAAGGCATTGAGGTAAGCAGGTAGAAAGGGCTTAAATTTTATCTCCTATATTTGGGAGAAGAGAATAAAAGGTATGGATAGTTTTTCAAGCAGGTAAAGGAATTTGAAGAGCTTTGTGTCTTAGAACCTTGGAGGTAAAAAAGAAGGCCAGGAGACCAATTAGAAGGCTGCCTCCAAGAACTAGGGCAGTAACAGCATATAAATAATTGCTTAAGCTGCTGATGAGTTTCATTATTTCTCAACCATTATTATCATATAGGATCAAAGTACGCAGATTCCTGATTTGCATCCTGATAATAGCTATGAAAAGTAACAGGATCTGTCATTACTGTGACCACACTTAGCAGAGAATCCAAAACAAGCTCCAATTTTAAACCTGTCCTACATCTCCAACAAATTTAATTAGATGCCACCAAAACTGGCACTTGGTATGTCCCTTAGATTACTTCTGATAACCACAATAGCTCAACACTCTCAATCTCAGGGAAAAGAAAAAACCTTAAAGAAAGAGTTGGAGTGAAAGAGGAGAGGGTAGAGAAAAAGTACGATGTAGGATAGAGTAGACAAACTTTTATTTTTATAAATGGCCAGACTAAGTATTTTAGGCTTTTCAGGCAAAAGAGTCACTATCACAACTTCTTGCACAAAGCAATCATAACAAGTATGTAATGGAATGAGTTTGGCTCTGATCCAAAAATACTTCATTTACAAAAACAAGCAGCATACCAGATTTGGCCCATGTGTGATAGTTTGCTGACCCCTGACACAGGACATTAACACCTTTCTTGCTGAATATCAGAGAACATATTGATATTTCAATAGCACAGGCCATGTAATTATACACCCTAACACTTAAATTTCAAACATATTTCATGTGTCTTCTCAAAGAGAGCATTTTGATAAAGAAATACATTGTACACATTTTTCCTTAAAAAAAGAAAAACTACAATACTTACTGTAACACTGGCAACTCTGAAGTAATCATTGCTGGAGAGGTCGTTCCACAATGCAGCAAAAGAATCAAGGGCTGTACAACTCAAAACTTTTAAAACAACCTCAAAGGCAATCCTGTTAATTAAAAAAAAAAATTATTTTAAGATAAAATGAATATGCCAGAATGCACAGACTACAGTAAATCAGCACTACCAGTGATCGCACCTTTCAGTATTTACTTATGAGTTGAAAGCTTCTGTCCACACAAAAACCTGCATAAAGATGTTTGCTACACTTTTATTCATAATTGCCAAAACTTGGAAACAACCAAGATGTCTGTCACAAAGTGAATAGATAAATAAACTGTGGTAAATACAGATAATGGAATATTATTCAGCCCTAAAAAGAAATGGGCTTTCAAGCCATAAAAAAGACATCGAGAAACATTAAATTCATATTACTAAGTGAATCTGAAAATTCTGAAAAGGCTACATACTGTATGATTACAACTATATAACATTCTGGAAAAGGCATAACAATATAGACAGTAAAAAGATCAGTGGTTGCCAGCAGTTAGGGGAGTGGGAGAGATGAATGGGCAGAACACAAAGGATGTTTTAGAGCAAGAAGACTATTCTGAATCAAGATGGTGGAATAGACGGTCCCCAGCATCATTCTCTCCCACAAATCAACCAATTTACAACTATTAAAAAGCAATGACAGCCAAGCTGGGGCTGCTAGAGCTCAGGAGAAGAGGAGGACAGACCTACGGAGTGCATGAAGGCAGCAGAAGCCACTATGAAAGAAAGGACCAACCTGACCATTTCAAGTACTGGCTGCTTCCAGGCTGAAGCTGCTGAGCATATGGAGCAAGAGCTGGCAAAAGCCACAGCTGTACACTTTGGATGAAGTTGTTTGGAGGCAGCAGGGGAGAAGGGGACCTTGGTGGCCCCCAAGCCAGCAGGACCACTAATAGGGTTCCCTCGCACCCACACAGGAGCAAGAAGCCACAACAACTGAAAAAAAGGAGCCACTCAGAGGTCAGTGAGTCATTGCAAGGGACTGAAGCACAGCCCGTCCCATGAGAAGTGTTTGCAGCATGGGTGGTGGGGGAGATGAGCCCACTGGGGGAACACTGTGGCACAGCAAGGACAGCTGATCTGCACCCCAATCATCACAGAACCACTCAGAGGAGACTGGTTGGGAATATAGAATTGCATGGGGTGCAGTTTAATGAAAAGACTAAGGCCCACACCAGAGTCTCTACACAAACCAGGTACACTGGATTTCACTTGACCCAGAAGTACCTACAAAGTCAACCATTAAAACCTGAGCTGCACAAAAAGCCTTCCCCAGGGAATAAGCAGCAAAGCAGCAATTGAGCTAAACCACACAGCTCAAGTACTGGTCCCCACAGGAAGTTCCCCCATTTTATAAGTAAGCAAAGGACAACAAATTAGTTCCAGAGCAGAGTTTAAGTGGTGGGAACAGCAAATAACCCAACATAGAACTGAAAGCAAAAATAAAGTACCCACAACCAGAGACAAAGTTTGATATTAACTAATAAAGCCAAAGAAGACCTATAACCTAGAAGGACAGGAAGTCCCCTAGGCTGCCAAGCCAGAAAGGGGGGAGGGCCAGGGGCCTCAGCAATGACCCCTGTCACCTGCAACCAGTCCCAAAGATGGGGGATGAGGGCCTCAGCCACACCCCCCACCCCCACACACGCAGCCAGCCTAGCAACGACCACCGAGCTACCTCATGAAGCACCTCAGGCTCTCCTGAACTGGGGCAGAGGGGGCTTCAGGCCTCTGCGACACACCCCACCTCCAACACGTGCAACCAGTCCAGTGACGACCACCAAGCCACAGCAAGAAGGGCCCTGGTTTTCCTGGGGGGGTGGGGGAGGGCTTTTTGCCATATGCCCCTGACATCTGCACCCAGCCTGGCAATGATCAAGCCACTGCTGGAAGCCCCCCGGTCTCCCCTGTGGGAATGAGGGGGGTGCCACAGGTCTCAATCCCTCCCATCTTCCTTCCTCCTTCTTCCAACACATTTGCTTCCTCTTCCCCCTCTCCCCCACTCCCTCCCAACTGTTCTGCAACAACATCCTAGAATGTAAAAAAAAAATTCATAAAATTACATTTTCTTAAAAAAAAAAAAAAAAAAAAAAGAAAAAACTATTCTGAATGACGCGATAATGGTGTATACATGACATTATACATTTGTCAAAATTCAGAGAACGCGCAGAACCAAGAGTGAATCCTAACGTAAAGTATGGACTTTGGGTAGTAATGACATGTCAATATAGGTTTGACTGTAACAAAGGCACCAACCACTTTGTTGTGGGAGGTTGACAGTGGGAGAGGCTTTTGGGGGCGGGGGGAGTTAAGGGGTATGTGAGAAATCTCTGTACTTTTTACTAAATTTTGCTGCGAACCTAAAACTGCTTTAAAAAATAAAATCTGTTAAAAATAAAACTAGTAAGGGCCGGCCCGGTGGCGCACTCAGTAGAGTGTGGCGCTTGGGAGCGCGGCAGCCCTCCCGCCAAGGGTTCGGATCCCATATAGAGACCGGTCCGCTCACGAGCGCGGTGCAGGCGCAACACTGAGGGTTGCGATCCCGTTACTGGTCACGAAAAAAGACAAAAAGGAAAAAAAATAAAAATAAAAATAAATAAAAATAAAAATAAACTGGTAAAAGATGACACCACCATAACATAGAATTCCATGGTCCATTAAAAACAATACTGAAGACAAGTATTGAAAGACATAGAATGCTGCGTGATGTCTCACTGATTAATGAAAATATACTGAAGTCTATATTATGGACATGATTACATTCCAGTTTGAAAACAGAGTGTTAGTGGGAGCTAAAAATAAATAAATAAATTCACACACACACACACACACACACACAAAACCGGGTGGGGGGAAGAAGACATAACAAATACAATTCCTTGAAGTTGATACGACAAGCAAACAGAAAGGACATTGTTGGGTGGGAGGGGGGAGAGGGAGGAGGGAGGGGGGTTTCGGTAATGGGCCACAATAATCAACCTCATTGTATATCAACAAAATAAAATTTTTAAAAAATAATAATAAAATAAATAAATAAATAAATTTTTTTAAAAAGGAAGATAAGTAAAGCCAGGAGAGTCCTTAGTTTGGCCTCAGCAGGACACATCACATCATCTCTTTAGGATGTCTAAATGGTATGAATCCAGAGAAGGGAAATAAAGTTCTGCCTGTTCTCAGGAGCCTTCATACCAGAGACTTTATGTCACAGAGCTGCCTATTTAGAGATGCTGGCCATTTTTTCCCACTAGTGTGAGGGGTTTGGATGGCCTTGGTTTGCCTTGACAATTCCCCATCTTTTATTTTCTGGAGAGAAAATTAAGACCATTTAATTGTTCGCCAAAAACCCTAGCGCTAGGTCCCTTCCGGCTCCAGGCACAGTCACCTCAGGGAAGTGAGGGTCTAGGTAACGACCTACACCCCCTTCTCTCCAGGTTCTTTATTGAACCACTCCCTGAGATTGGCGCGACTCATTGGGGACGCCCTCTGAGTCCTGTTTCTCTCATCCAGCCGAAGGGCTTATCTTTAATCCTCCTCTGACTTCTCTCCTCCAAAACCCTTTTTTGGAATGGGAGCTTCTGCCTCCTCCCTCCGGGGTGATTCACCCTTACAATGTCTCTTAA